TGTGACCAGAGGTGTGTCCAGGGGGACTGTCCCAGGGAGAGACTGGAGGTGTGTCCAGGGGGACTGTCCCAGGGTGTGACCAGGGGTGTGTCCAGGGACTGTCCGAGGGCAGGGAGAGACCATAGGTGTGTCCAGGGACTGTCCCAGGGGGAGACTGGAGGTGTGTCCAGGGCAGTGGTGGAATCAGGACTGTTTCTCGTCTCTCTGGTGCCAGGCTGCTGAACATGGGGCTCTTCTAATACACCGCACTGTCCTACACTGATCATACCTGCAAGCTGTATGGTGCCAGATAGGTACGTACTGAGGGTCAAAAGAGCTCTTTCACTCTGTTTACACATGTGTTCCATGACTTTATTATTATTGTCCTCATTTATAACTGACCACGATCAATCAGTGTTGTGTATCACTCTAGTGTTGATTCAAAGTTTGTGAGAGAATGTGATGCAGACATGCAGAAGAGAAGTTAATTATAGTGTACAACAGACCAACTGATGGAGAGGTTCAAATGAAAAGGTCTGGACAAAAGTAAGTTGCTTCAGAAGTTCACTTGTAGTGACTGATGGAAACTGACTTCGTTGTGCATGGATTTAATCCTGATCCCTTCCTTTCCTGGGATTTCCCTTCACCCCTCACACACACAATAAACAAATCTGCATTTTTGTAGGAGTTGGGATAAATATGTTTATGCTAAGCTGTTCAATTAGAGTTGAACTGAATGACGGGTTTCACTCCACAGCACTGAAGCCAAGAGGACCCCGCAGGTCCCAGGACTCCGCCAGGATCACAGGAACAGGGAAACAGGAGGCTCAGCTCACTTCATATCTGTTTTACTTCAGCTGTTATTATTAAATACATGACCTTCAAATAAACATTTTAAGAATTTGCAGCTTTTCTGTGTTGATGCAGAGGCCTACTGAGTGAAATGACAAATCTTTTAGAGGAATCATGTTGCTTATAGGGGTCTGACCTCCTCACTCTGCTTGACCCTGGAGGCAGGAAAGCAGCTCTAATGCTCAGGTGGGGAGCTGCGTCAGTATGCGCAGGCTGAGAAGGAACAAGTAAAAGGTTTATTCCCTGCTGAAAAGAGAAGTAAATGCTTCAGCTCACACCCAAAGAAGGCTCCACAGCCAAAACATTGTTTTCTTTCTACTCTTTTCAGCATGGAATAAACCTATTGCTTGTGCCTCTGGAATAAACCTTTTACTTGTTCCTTTGCAATTCTAATGCTCTCCTTGTTGGGTGAAACGGAATGAAAACTACAGCAGGAGTTGGTTTGGCTTGAGTTCTTATAGGAACAAAAAGCCAACATGTTGCTTTACAGCACTCTTTATTATTCAAGACATGAAAAGTGGGGATGTTTAATTTTTTTATTATTATACAGGAATCCAAGAGAATAATTAAACATACTCTTAACATCCAAATGTCCCATGAAGCTTCAGTGCCAACCTCCAGGGCTGCAGTTAATCCTCCTCCTCCACTGGGGGCAGTACAATCTTGCTGGGGTCATAGTAGTACTCATCCATAACGGGGAGCCCCTGTGCCTCCCTCTGCTTGATCACCCGTTCCGCCTCCCGCCGAGCCCACAGCCTCATCCTGAGCAAGGAGAGAGAGTCAGAGGTCAGCAGTTTAAGTCAGGGCACTAGGCCCCCCGCAGCGAGGTGGGGTCTCCAGGGGCTCCGGTCCCCAGTTGGAGTCCAAACACACACAGCACCAGTCACCAAGCACAGCCGCAGCGTCCCCACACACAGTCCCTCACCGCAGGGCTACACACAGCACACGTCCGCCTCCACAGCCCCTGCGTGCAGATCTCACCCGTGATCGGGCAGGTAGTGTATGAAGGCGCTGCCGATGACGATGGCCACGGAGATGCCGAAGAAGAAGGCGGCCCTCATGTTCCACTTGTCGACGTGCGGGTCGCTGTGAAAGCCATGGTAGTCCTTGTTCTGTCCGGAGGAGGAAGAGGGTGGTGGAGCGTGAGTGACCATTCCTGAACCTCTGGCGCGCCACAGCGGTCCGAGCAACCAGCCGCTGAACACTTCACTAGTGCTCAACACAAGCTTCATCACTACAGCTGACCGATGTCTGGCTTTCAGAGCGATCCTGCTGTCGGCAGGTGGGTGCTGGGTGCTGGGTTCAGACACACAGGCTCAGGAGAGAACCCTGTCTGCTGACACCCTGAACTCCCGGACACTCGAACCCCAGCACCAGCACCAGAGCCTGTGTAGCACACAGGAACCAGAGCGCCGACCTCTCCAGTAGCACAATACAAGATAACAACATTAAGATAAATCTAGAGTCATGCAACTCGGCAAATCTACAGGTGACTTTAGAAGCCCAGCCTGACCATCTTATTATCGGGGTGATAATTCTTAATACCATTATAATCAACAAGACAATGACAGGTTAGGAAATAAAAGATTGTGATCCATATTTGATTGAATAGCTTCCCGCTGTTTGTTTACAACATTAACACAGAAGTATAATTTTTAAGACCGTGAGACTTCAGAAGACTTTCAGAGAAGCCCACTGCACCTCGCGGCGAACACACGCACAACATTAAAGCCTTCGGGTCATCTAAACGTCGTCTCTCCTCCGGCACACTATACTTCTATTACCTTTACAAGTGTTGTTTTTCTTGCAACATGACAGCATTACATTTTTGAGAAAAATAACGTACATATTTAAGTGTATGGTTCACTTTACTAAAACAACACTAAAAATATTGCACTTGATAAGTGCGCCTGAGCACCTTCACCAGATTACAGCTGGTGTTGCGCTGTCTGTCCCGGTTCTGCTGCTCCGGGTCCGACACTCACCTTATCGTACATGCTGACCGGTGCAGATTTGACAGCCTTGTGCTCCGCCGGCTTCAGGTCTGACACTGTGGCGGACTCGGCCGCGGCAGGGGAGCGAGTCTGAGACACCAGGCGAGCCCCGGACACCGGGCCGAGCCGAACCCGGGACCAAGTCGGCCAAATCCGCAGAAACCGAGCGGCCATGTTCCCCTTCAGCGCACGACCCCTTCGCCCTGGAAGCGGAAACTAGCGATGGCGTTTACTGTCGGAGGGCAGCAAAGGGGAGATTAAAGGGGAGGAGTGGAACTGCATGCGGTGTGTTAATGATAACATATTATACTGAGAAATGCGTCGCACTGGTGTACGAACGATGCCGCTCTATGTTATAAAATAAAAAAAATTGAAAATAAATAATAAAAGGAAATTCAAGATTTAAATGCTCTTAAAAATAAAACCATTGCTTCGTAATCACGAGTTCATGTATAGCCGGTAGTCGGCATCACCGATTAACTGAGACCATTTTAAACTTGGATTTTCTTTGATTATTTTAGTTTTCTGTGTTTTTTGAACTGATAGGGGTTGAAGCCGAACAGCCAACCGACTATTTTACGATAAATAGTAGATATGATTTGGGTATCAAGATCATCTGGCATGAACTATCTAAAATAAACTATTTATCACTGTCATGAAAGGCACTAGATATAATGAAGATGTTAATTACTACGATAGAATCTCTGTTTTGCAAAGGAGCACCCAGGGTGGCCCCGGAGTGGACATGCTGAGTGGACTAATTAGTGGAGCTGTATAAGTCTGCAGTGTTTGTTGTTTCTGAGGAGCATATACTGTAGTGTATGGCCTTGAAATAATTCTAATGAGATCTAAACTAGGACCTAAACCAATCATAACATTAAAGAGAGAGAGAAGATACCAGAGGGAAACACACTTCAAGGTGAAAAGCAACAAAGAGACGAACTTAGAGATGATTAATCCCAATTACATTTTAACAGCAATTATAACATCATAACAACTCCTGCTACTATTTAATTTGTCCTTGCCTGCACCCCAGTGGAACGTCTACACAGAAAGCAAAGAACTGAACCACAGAGGTGGAGTGAGAGAGGGGGAGAGGAGGAGTGAGAGGGGAGAGAGGGGGAGAAGGAGAGAGGCAGAGGGTGAAAGACGGGGGAAGAGGGTGAAAGAGAGAATGAGACAGAGAGAGGAATGGAAACTCAGAGTAACATGAACCAGAGGACACAGGTGGAAACTGCATGGAAGAGTGTCACCTTACACAAAGGGTTGTAAGAGTGTGGAACAAGCTGCCTGGCCATGTGGTTGAAGCTGATGCCCACCATTCTTTATAACAGCAGGATAAGATCCTCAGATCAGTGAAGTGCTAACTACCAATCAGGCAGGAGGGGTTGCTTCTGAGCTTTCTGGTTGTGTAAAGAGGCCAACGCAATTGGTTTTGTTCCGCAGTTCAGTGTTAAAACAGGCACATACATTGCAAATGAGCACTACACAACACAGCACTGTATTTCCACAGCCAAAAGAGACGCTCATTGAGATATAAACATTATTTTCCTTTACATGCATGTTTTATTTTAAGATAATACTAGGACAAAACATAACTCTTCATGAGCACTGTACATTCAGAGGATGAAGGTGTGCTGTGCTAATTAATACTCAAGGTTAAGAGGAATCTGGACACAGACTCATCCTGCAAGAGGAGTAAGCAGGTTAGTTTACAGAGGTGAGAGGTTAACTCCTGCTCTGTTGTGTGATTTGGATTTACAGTAACACAGACGTGAGGCTCTGAGGCGTTGTCCAAACCTCTGTCTGCTGTTAAACAGTACACAAGTACAATTAACAACAGTTTTATTAATTAACTCATTACTTTCCTCTTTTCACTACAAATAAAACCTCTGTTTGCCTTTTCCTTGTTTTCTTTCCTCCATTTTACAATTAGACTTTTGTCTGTTGGCATGTTTGTATGTTACGAATTAATCTGCTTAAAGATCTTATTTTCCATGTTTTATCTTGCATTAATAAAAAAAACATCAAAGAGTTTGAGAAAAACTAAAATCGTTTGCAAGCAGTCATAAAGCATTTTCCTCTAGTTTGTCGTCCAGGGCTGGGCTCTGGGGCTTGTTCACTTGTCTTGGTTATAGTCAGAGGCTTAGTGTTCCCCCAAGGGTTGAAGAAGGGGTACAGTGTCCTTTCGAAATTCTTACTGAATGTGTACAAGTGAAACTTGTTTTCCACGTCATAGAACGAGACCTTTCCACCCTCATAGTCCAGGAACACGCCCACTGTGTGAACTGTTCCCTTGGTCTGGATTCGGGGCCTGGTTGTGTCGAGAGCCCTGTACTCATTGTAGACAAACCAGATGCTCATGTAGTCATGGTTGGGCTGAATGTCTCCGATCAGATCCTTTCGCACAGTCTCATAGGCCACCCCAAGATCCCAGTGATCCAGTTCGCCCACATTGACTTCCCAGTAGTGCTTCCCATTGGAAAATCCCTGTGTTCCCAGCACCCCTGACCAGTATTTATACCTTCTTTCATTGTTGGGAACGTCGTTCAGAGATTCATCGTACTGCACTCTTTTTCCATCTTCAGAGACTCGCAGCTTTGGGTGACTAGTTTCCTTATCCATTATTATGTCGGCTTTCAGGAGAAAAGAGAGATAATGAATTTCAATCCAACACACATGGTGCTGGTTTGCGCTCAGAGATGTTGTGTTGTTACTCACCTCCATACTGTCGAGCTCTCTTTATGACTGTAGAAACACAGACAGAGACAGGGGTGTTGGAATCTGGATGTGTTGAGTTTAGCAGAGCGGCCTGTGACTCTGACTGCTGTTGTCAATAACTGCTGGCTGTAGCTCATGCTCTCCTGAGTTATCATGGCCAGAATCATTCCAGCTGTTTTGACATTTTAATTCACACCATTGGGATACAAAACAACCTGATGATAGAGATTTTGAGACCGATCGTTCTCTATATCCACGAGTTAAGAGCTGATAAAGCACTTAAAGAGTGTCTGCTGTGATTATACTGAGGCACTCCTGGAATCTGCTGGGAGCCTCCTCACTGGACTGAGGAATCGTATCACTGCAACAGGAAGCTCTGGTGACGCAGTATATAGGACAGTGCCGGCATATATTAACGTATAGTCCAACACCAGATTCTCACCATATTCTCAGCTGTTTGAGGGATTTTTTGTTTTCCTTCTAATACATGAATTAAAATATCAAAACAAAGGGAAGTGAATGAACAGTATATATTGGATATAAATGCTGCACAGGGGACAGGAACACAAATGGGCTTTCTGTCAGAGTGACATACAGACGCCTCACTTCCTTGGCTAATATCTATTGTTGTGTTATTGTCTGCATTGACAAGAGCTGTCTGTGTATCTGCCACTGTGTATCATGGTGATGGCTGTCTCTTTAATGTCACTGGATGAGGGTAGTCTGTTTCAATTAATCTATTTCACATGACAAGGGCAGTAAAATGGAGACATATGTAATACAATATTAGTGTGAAACACAGAAGCGCAATACTGTTTTACTGTTTCATTTTAACATATTAGCCTGACCGCAACAGCGTCCCTCAAAGACAGCATGCCTGAAAGCCACCTTCTTTAATTTCTACACATACTGTTGTGTAGCTGTGAAAGGCACAGAAATGTACTTGAGTTTGACCATGTATGGACACCAGGCAGTGTGTCTCCTGTCCAGACTGACCCACTGACCTTCCTCTGCACCTGTACAGGAACACAAACAGAAACAGTGTTTGTCAAGTGTCTGTCTGGAGAGCAATAGAATCCTTTCCATGTCTCCCCACCTTCCATCTGCCAGAGAACATAACTTATTATTATTATTATTATTATTATTATTATTATTATTATTATTGTGGTTGTTGTTATTAATGCTTGCTGTCTCCCTGCCTTGATGCAGTATCTCTTCCTCTTCTTACAGTTCAATGGATATTTTCCCCAAAATTATTTTTGAAATTTGCGAAATGACAACTTACCCAAGACTTCTACTAGCTTGAGGTTCTCTGAAAAAAAGAAACATTTTATTGTGAGTTAAGTAGTCAGAGCACTGGTAACATGTCTTTCTCCTACTCCACATAACAAAAAACATAACATTACAAAATCTATTCACTATATGGAATTTGTACCTTAAAAGTTAACTTACAGAAAACCTGGAGGATGTTTTGCTTTATGGAGATCCATCTTGGTCTTTTCTTGCTGGATTCAGAGCAGAACTGACAGTGCGAGACAGCTGGATCTACAGTGTACTGCACCCAGTCTCTCACCTGGACAGACACTGGTCCCAGTGTATGGTTTGTGTATCTGTTGTCACTTGTTCACTAGTTGTTTTCAGAAAGTAATCATTTGTTTAAAAAAGTCGTTTATTTAAAGACTTGCTAAACCTGAGTAATTAAAATAATTATGAGCGTACAGTATATGGTGGAATAACAACTGAGAAAACAGGGGAGCCCTCTGACTATGAGAGCCTGTGCAGAACACCCCTTCACACAGACAGCTAAAACTGGAAGATTAGAAACAAACATTAATCTCTGGGAAGTATGGAGTGGAAGCAAATTAAAAACTCCTGTGTGTTTTATTTGGGGAATTACCTTTTTTCAGGATGATGACGTATGTGAGACTAATGAGAAAGATGACAACGAGGACTACAGCAGATATGAACCAGGGCTGTGCTGGTGTGAAAAAAGCACCTGGAAACAAGATGACATTTCAAATAATTTAAACTCTGGTTACAAACAGACAAATTTGTCCCACAAATCCATGCCCGAAGACACAGCTCTTTTCTATAGAAACGCTTTTGATATTGTGACATAAACAGTGTTCCTGGAGAAACGTGATCAGCTGTGCAATTACACCGAGTGTAACGAGGAACATGCTGAGGTTACTGTCCTGTCGTCACTACTGGTACCAGCTTCATTGTCTTGTAACACACAGCGATCCCTGTGTTGACTTTTCAAAATAAATAATAGTAATAAGTCACACGATGAACAGCACTGGCACTAACAAGCTAAAAGTCAATGCAGATGAGCTGCCCTTAAAGAGAAATATTGAAAAATACATTTCCTTACATGTACTGTTTGGAGTTCTTTTTCATCATTTCTGATGAAACACATAGCAATAACGACCAAAGCTGCTTCCTGTTTCTGTGGAAGGGCTCAGTTGGCACAGCAGCGGACACAGTGACTGTGCCACAGACACAGAGGCTAAGGGAAGATTTCTTTTAAAAGGAGCACCAGACTTTGTTCGTAGGTGAGTTTGGAAAGTAAAGTATGGGAAGAAGAATCCCCTGTGTGATACTGAGGAGGAGAATAACGTGTGTGATCTCCCTGCTGTAGCACTGGCCACTCGCCACTCGCCCTGGACAGGCAGCTGGGTGAGACAGCGGGACACTGGCGCTGTGGGAACTGACCGCTGACGTGGATCCTGGACTGGATCTGCCTCCCGTTGCCCCCAAACTCCAGAACACAGGAGACCTCGGCCTGCCCCTGCCCCGACAGCAGCAGGTGTGTGCTGACAGAGTACAGCCCCTCCCTGCTCCGGGTGAAGATGCCCCTGGTCTTCGGCACAGGGGCACCTGTCTCGTCTGCCCACAGCACCTCTGGAGCTGGGTACCACCCCTCAGAATGACAGGACAGCCTGATGCCCCCGCCCTCGTGCCCTTCCAGAGAGACCAGGGGGGCACTGCCAGTCACTGAGGGGACCAGAGAGAACACAAGATTACGGGGGTCAAGGCACCCTAGAGCAAAACGCCAAGGTTCTGCAGGAGGCTCTGCTGTCTGTGCTGGTCTGCTGCGACAGGACCTGCTTTTGGCAACGCCTGAGAACTGCAGAGCGTCTTCCAGAGCCGTGGACAAGCCTCGGCCAACACGTTATTTCTGTTATTGGCACAGGTCTGTTTGTGATTGTGCAATATCTGGGGGAAACCTACAGAAACAGCTCCTCGCATCTGGAGTAAATCAGCCTCCCGCCAGGCCCGGGCCTGGAGGCGCCTCACTGAGAACAGAGGAAAGCAGGCGTCAGTTGGCTCTGGAGTGGAGTTTGCAATCAGGTGGGGATTTAAGCTTTGATTTATTCTGCACTATAATTTTTGACATTAGGTTTGGTTTTGGGAGAGCAGAGATACAATAAACCATTTTATCAAATAACACCATGATTCAATCAACATTTAAATTATTAAGGGCAGGAATTATAAAAAGCTTTCCTAGCTTTCCTGTACAACCCTAATCAAACCTCCCTGTGATACAAAAGCACAATACAGTGGAACTATGGGAACGGAAGGGACTGCTGTATACTATAGGGGTGGGAAAGCAGGATTATTATGCTAATTGTCAATGGAAACTTTCATGAGGACAGGATGACTGCCTGCGCTCTGTAACATGAGTGGCTTGATGTGTTTAATATAGCACTGGGTGAAGGGACTGCAGAGACAGAGAGAATACTCACTGGAAATCTTCACCTCCACTTCTCCTCTGTCGTAGTAAGACCCTGAATCCACAAAGCAGGTGTACAGTCCCTCGTCAGACACTTGCAGGTCCCTGATCAGCAGAGAGACGTTGCCTTGCTTCAGACTGTCTTTGAACAGACTCACGCGGCCCTCGAACGCCCTGCCCTGCTTCTCTGTACGGTGTCTGTACAGGTGGACCTCCTCGTTCCTCTCCTTCCGCGCCCATCGCACCTCCAGGGGCTCTGCGCTGTGGGCCGGAGAGAGGTGGCAGGGCAGCATGAGGTCAGCCCCCAGCTGGGCAACCAGGGGCTTGTCAGGAACCTGGACAGTGAAGGACCCTGGAGACAGGAGACAGCAGAACAGTTGGACGCCCACGGTCATGCAACCAAACTGAGACAGTTTTAAATTTTTACCAGAAGAGATAGTGGGGGCTGGAGGATGGCAGAGAGGGGGAGGAGGAAAGTAAAAAAAGAGAAGGAAGATAGAAAAGCGCAAGCTCTTTCCGAGCCTGTCCTCTCACCTGGGCTGGCCCCCCGCACCTGCAGGAGAGCCACAATCACAGAGAGGCTTCTCCCCAGGGTGCACAGCATGTCTGTGCCGGTCAGCGCAGATCCGTGGCTGCTCCTCTGCAGAGTGGAACACAAACTGGATCACCTCCAGAGAGATACTGCCACGGTCGCCATCCCTCCCCTAGAGGGCGCTCCACTACTCCTGTCATTAGTTCTGTGTGATTGCTGGTGATCCTCTATTTATTCCCAGTGCCCTGAGGGCACAGCCTCCTCCCTGACATCGCCTGACCTGAGCCCGGGGCCTGGGGGACCTCGCCCCGTGATCCCAGGACTGCCCGTGTTCCTGTTTCCCCTTCCCGGGGATTTTAACCTTGAGTCGTTTCAGAATGGATCTCACGCTATCGGACTCAAGGACTGTGCCCTGACCCTCCTCTGGACCCGTGCGGATTGGGACGCCTCTCTTTGTTCCCCTGTTCACTGGCACTCGCCCTGTCACTGTTATTGAGATGCACTATGAAACCCCTGTGTGTTTTCCCCGAACTATGTCTCCCATTTCATCCAGCTCTTACCGCTTCGCACAGGGTCTAACATAACACCCGAGCCGGATTGCTGAGCCAATCCGTAACAGATACTCACAAAGATCCTCTGCCTCCCGAGAGATGCCCCTCTCCAGTCTTATCCCTCCAGGTGGTCGAAACACAACCAGGCCCCCAGCTGCATCAGGATACACCCCTGTCTCAATGTCAAATCTCTGTTCTTTCACTTGCTCCTTGTAAACAGGACTTTGTCCCCTGTTATCTTCAGCTCCTCTGGGCTTTATGATCAGTGTTAACACATGAACTGTGATGTCTTACAATTTTTTTATACTATGCTAAGAAAATGAAACCACACAGACTCAGACTTTGACCTAAAGTAGATGGAGCATGATCAGCTTGTCAGGATCAGGATGTGAGAGGGCTGGAAGAGAACTTCAAATCATGTTTTTTGAGTAAAACAGATTGACACCATAAAGAAAAATGGGGAATGTGAGCTTTCTGTTGACATGGATTAACAATTAATTTGTATTGATGTATTTTTCCGTGTTCACCAGTCAGAGTAGCCAGGGAGTGCAGAAGACTGTCACAGTCCTTTAAGACACATGTAACATGAGCCAGAGGGAACTGCAGGGCTTAAGAACAGGACAGACCCAGATTTCTGTTTCCTCACAGCCATCGCTAGGCTCCCACTACACTGCAAGACAGTGCCCGTCTCAGTGGGGCGGACTTCTTCGGTATGGCTCAGCACAGAACCTCAGGACTCAGGAAGGGGTTAAACTTTCACACTGAATATTCAATTGGACCAATGTAAACCACCAGCATGCGTAACAACAACAACAACAACAACAACAATCATCATCATCATCATCATCTTTGTTTTTTAAATAGTGCACATAATGGGACATCATTTAATGGAACTTAATAATAAAACAACAAAATATCTGGTGCAGATTTACTCTGGTGTCCTGTCATGCTTGTTGCCACGGATGAGCAGCAGTCTGAGTATCTGTAGTGATTAATTCGATAGGAGACCTGACCCGCCTGGAGCCTGTTATCCTTCACACCCACCTTAGGTGGTTCAAGAGTAATTCAGCCATGACCTGACAGTGCTGGGGACTCTGCCAAAGAGTTTGAAGCTCCTCCAGCTTTGTTTTGTGTTCCTGAGCTCTTGCTGGGTTTGCTTCCTGTATTCTAGACCATGCTTCCCTTACTTCATTTCTCATATTAATAATAATAATAATAATAATAATAATAATAATAATAATAATAATAATTCCTTATACTTATATAGCTCTTTTCTAGACACTCCATTCAAAGCGCTTTACAAGTCATCATCCAAGCCTCACCTGGATGATGCGCCAGTCCGCTCCCCACACACCAGCTCTCAGTGGGGAAGAGAAGAGTGATGAAGCCAGTTCAGAGACAGGGATTATTAGGAGGCCAGGATGGGTAAAAGCCAGGGGGAAATTTAGCCAGGATGCTACTGCTTTCAAGAAATGCCCTGGGATTTTTAATGACCACAGAGAGTCATGACCTCGGTTTTACGTCTTATCCCAAGGACGGCGCTTTTTTACAGTCTAGTGTCCCCATCACTATACTGGGCCATTAGGGCCCACACTGACCACAGCGTGAGCGCCCCCTGCTGGCCCCACTAACACTTCTTCCAGCAGCAACCTTAGTTTTTCCCAGGAGGTCTCCCATCCAGGTACTGACCAGGCTCACACCTGCTGGGCTCCAGTGGGCTGCCAGCTGCCAGCTGTGAGCTGCAGGGTGATATTCCCCCTGTGCCTTCCAATGTGTCTTTTTGTTTATGGACTCTACTTTCTCCCCTCAGCTCTAGGGTGGATTTCCCTTTGTGGCTCTTCTGTGTTTATAGGCTCTGACCCCTGGACTGTGGATCACTCTGGACTGTGTCGGCCTGCACTTCGCTAGCAGGTGCTCGCTGCCTGTCCCTGTTTGATGCAAACCACCTTCTGTTCTCCCAGACTTATCTGCCTGCATCTGGGCTGCATGTGTGCTGTATATTAAAGACCAATACCATGCAGCAAACTGACCATTACAGTCACTTCTAAATGACATATTAAACCCCTGAATTTAGAGTCCTTTGGGTGTTAAGTGAAAATAACGTCAGTTTCAGAACATTCAGACTTGAACATCCAGGCAACTGTTTTATTATCGGTCTGTGTCTTTCTCTAGATGTCATTATGGATCCCTGCCACCTCTCCTCTGCAGGAGGCGCTGGGCCCAGGGACTGTCAGCACTGCAGCAGGGACCTGACCAGGCCCCAGCCCTGCCTGGGGAGGAGGGAGGAAACCAGAACAGCTGGTGAAGACAGAGGGAGAACATGCAGACTCCACACACACAGGCACCCTAGGCCAGAATCGAACCCAGAACCCTGGGGCTGCAAGAACACAGAGCTGACTGTCGTTCCTTTCTTGAACTGTATCAGTATTAAATATTATACAAGCTACACAAATTTAGTCAACGAAAGAAGTTTTCAAAAATAATTTATTTTCACTGTTAGAAGCTCTAATCTATTTCAGTGACAGCAACCAGTGGTCGTCATGACATGCTCCTGTGTTCAGGTTATCATAACACTACAAAACATAAAACACCTCTTAACCCTGACCTTTCAAATAGGAGCCCTTTGCCTGACAAGCAGAGCTTCTGGAGCCCGAAATCAAGGATGTCATATCACCGAGCATCTGTTCTAATAAAGGAAATAATAAAACGTTACAGGGAGGAGTCTCAGCATCTGAAAATGAAGTACAATAATTCATAAGCAAGGTCTAAGAAAGCAGCACAGTGTTTCTGATGTAGTGGTTAATTTGTTTCAATGTATTCTCATTTGTTTGGTCAGTGATATGCTGAGAAACATTAAAAACACAACAGATACTATTGGTTCCAAATGGGGATAATTTCTTGCCTTTTAATGGCATGATCTTCCTGTCAGTAACACATTTCAAGCCCAGTACAAGGTGGTGATTCCACGGCTGAGGTTCACATGTTACTACATGATACCAGTAAGCTCTTTCTCCAGTTCATGATGGGCTCAAAGACTCAGGAGCCCCAAATCTTAACAGCACCAGAGGGGAAATATCTCACATGCTAGTATCGATCTACTGTGACCCAGACTTTCCACATCCGACATGAGAGAGAGGTTCTGCTTTTGTAGAGGAAGTGAGATGGAACAGACATCAGAATCTGCTTTGCTTTGCAGGTTATCGCTTGGCTTGGCCACAGCCTCTGGAAGAGCTGCTGTTGAGTGTTAGACCCCGGTAGATCAGTGCCAGTGGAATCTCAGACACATTCAGCTGCAAACCCTTCCGGACTATTCCAGCAGTCTGGAATGGCTAAGAGCTCTGTGGACAGCCGGGACACACACCTGGATTCCAGCACGTGGCCAAGTCGTGTTCTCTCACTCTACAGGCTCTGTAGACACACGGCTGGTGGAGAGGTGCCATTCGGCAGCACAGTCGACAGTGCCAGGTCACTGTTTCCGATCACAGCTGTCCATCTCATAGAAGAGGAGGTAGGCTTGGTTGGACTGGAGCTGTGACTCACTGGCTGGACTGACTCTGAAAGGGAGACATGAGGAGGGAGGGAGGAGAGTGACAGAGAGGCGAAATGATGGAGATCGAAACAGGAACAGTCACAGGAAAACAGTGCAATCGTGATATCTCTCGTTTCTTGTGCAAACACCGCAGAGTCCAGCCCATCACAGGCAATCAGTGACTGTGCACCAGTGAAATACTTCAAATGACAAGATTATCAAAATGTCACCAGACCACTGACACAAATTTCCTCTTTCATATAATTTTCCAAGCAGTTTTGTCTTGTAATACACAATGATGTCATACTACTCACCAACAACTACCGTATATGAAGCACATTTGATGTCATTTATTTTTCAATAACTAGCTAAAATATGGTCAGACAAATGCCATGAATGTATAACAGACATCAAGTACCCTACATCTGGGACATGGTTTCTCCTGCTACGTAAAAAAGCTGTATTTGCAGCTGGGAGCTGGAGGCTGACCTGGAGTCATTGTAACAGTACCATCCTGCCTGCTCCAGACAGTAGGCGGTGTAGTGGCCCATGTTCACAGTCCCAGAGTGGTTGCACACAGCGTAGAGATTGTACAGCACGCGTCCTGGGGCACAGAGGGACGGGAAGATACAGGGACAGGGCTGAGAGAGAGTGGTTCTGCCAGGAATGACCGAGTTCTGTCACTAACATACTAAACGACACTGTTTGGTGCTGAATATCTGTCTGTGGGATTTGACCAGTCCTGGGGGAGCCTGGGCATCTTCACCTGGGCGAGAAATATGTGCCGCGACTGGGCGCGGAAGGCGGAGTACCTGTGCCCTGTGCCCCATACTGCCCCAGGTCCAGATGTCTCAGAGGGAAGGAGACGGACACCGTGCTCTTGCTGATGGAGAACCGTGAGGCAGCGAAGCGCTTGAGATCTGGCACAGGGCCTCTGTTAAGGACTGGAACTCGACTCTCCGTCTGTTTCGCTGACATTATCAGAAGAAACCCAGACTTTACATACGCTTATTGTCCCAGACAGGACATTTTCTTTGCAGGCAGGTAAAAGACACAACACAAAACATTTAACACAGCATGGCCCCACTAACATTTACAGTACGATGAGAAAGAAAATATGTATCTAGGAAAAGATACAATTAATTCTCCTAATTAAGCAGAATAATAGCTGTGGGAATAAAAGATAACTTATTTCTCTTTTATATGAATCTAGGTAGTCTAACTCGATGCCCAGATAGAAGGAGATCAAATTCACTGCTGTTGTGCTTTTTCCAGTCATGGCCCAGGTCTACAAACCGACAAGGCCTGGTCTCTGCAGACTGACACGGCCCTGTCTTTTCATTAGTATAGCACAGCAATTATTGCTCTGCATTTATTTTACTGTGTGAAGATTACAGAGCTCAAAGTGCTCAAAGAAAATTACTGGAACAAAGTACAGGTGAATTTTAGAAGAAAGCTGAAGAGACCTGAACCTGGTTGGGAATGTCAGTCTCTGGGGCGATGGCCCAGAGCTATTCTGCAGTGTTTTAACAAGGGGAAAGTGAGGATGCCCGAGGGTCACAGTCAAAGTCCGGACGTTTGGTCCAGTAGAGAATTTTCACTCATAAAAGTATTCACGGTGAACATTCAAGTTTTGATTTAAGTGTCCACATCATTTGTAATTTAACCAAATGGGACATTATTGGAAGGAGGTGAATACTTTTGTAAGGTGCTATAATTTAAGTTTTCTGATAATCAAATCCTCTCTTCCCCCTGACACACATATTTATACTCCAGCTTTTTTGAGGATTTTCACAGAATCTCTCTTTTCAGAGTTGTTCCAAACTCCTCTCCAGTAAAATTGCATATTGGGTAAAAAGAATCTCACAACAGATATTTTGGAACTTTGCAAAAAATATCAGCTAACCCAAACTGGTTTCAAGGAGCAAGTTGTTTACATGGCAGTGTTGTTTCTGCTTCACTGTATGTCTTGAGTTATGTTCTCAGATCTTATCCCCAGGATAGCCCCACCCCAGCTCTGCCGGAAGGATACGCAGGACGATGATCCTGGGAAACCTCTGGACGCTGAGCTTCTTTGTGCTTTCCGTGCATCTCCCACATCTGTCACACATCTGGAAAGGAACAACAGCCCTGAAGTGCAAACGAGACACTGGAAGACACCTGTGAGCTCCCAGCCTGCCCTGTCACACAGCTGACACCTCACAGTGCTCAAACAGCCAGGACAGGACAGGAGCCCAGTCTGTCCAGCATGTGTTCATCTTCATGACTTTCACAGATACAGACGTTTTCAAGGGCAGATTTGCCTGGATCTAAGACTAATTGAACTTGAGAGTTCTGGCAGTTCATGGACAGAAACAGTTACCTTCCTCTTCTGCTGCTGGCCAATATCACGTTAAAAGCCGCCCAGGTTGAAAGGGCTGACTCCAGCAGGACAGCCAGCACAGGAGCAGAGAAACGGGGTTTGGAAAAGCAGCTGGGAAAGTTCACAGGGACTTGGTCTCCCACCTCACCATCCCACACGTACCGGGGCGTTCTCAGAGTCCAGGGCCTCCTCCTGGGAGAAAAGCTCCAGGCAGTCCTTCAGGGACACAATCCCCCCAGAAACACTCCTCTGCAACAACAGCACACAGTGGCTCAGGACCTCCTCTCCGCCAGCTCAGAGACCCTAACTCGCAACAGGAGAGGGTCTCATCTCATCTGAACAGCTCCATCTCGAAGCACCCAAAAAATTCAAGCATAGGGGTAACACAAAGAGCATGGAGAAGTTTAACAAAATGACCCTATGCCATCATACAGAGATGGACAGAGACAGACAGGCCAGCAGGCAGGCAGACAAGTGGACAGTCTTACCTTGGGAATGGGCAGCGAGAGGTCACAGAAGACATCGAAGGTGGTGGACTGGTGACCACACACAGAGCAGCACAAGGAGCTGCGCAACTGGCCAGAGAACAGCTCTGAGAGACAGATGGACACACAGAGGGAGAGGACACAGGGGTAGGTGGACATACAGACAGATAGGACACAGGATCAAGTGGATACACAGACAGATAGGACACAGGGGCAGATGGACACAAAGAGGGAGAGGACACAGGGGCAGGTGGACACACAGACGGAGAGGACACAGGGGCAGATGGACACACAGATGGAGAGGACACAGAGTCAGGTGGACACACAGAGGGAGAGGACACAGGGGCAGGTAGACAAATGAAATGTAGACAGTGTTTCGGCAGCATGTTTTGATTGCAGCTCTTGTGAAATCTGGCAACCCTAAAACTGTAGCTTTTGAAGGGCTCCTATTGGCTTGTATTATGCTCTACCATTGTTTTAGTCACTACAGATAGGAACTGGTTCTGATCCATTTATACTGGCTCAAGTTATTGCTCAATTCTTGCAAAAACATTGCTGCTCTTGATGCAGACAAAAATGAAAGCAAATGAAACAAAGATACTTACTGACCTACAATCCTGCTGTTGTCTCTCTCCAGGTACCTGTTCCACAGGTGTGCTGCCCTGTCCTCCACTCTGGCAGAGGGAGAGGAGAGAGAGGAGGAGATGGGTGGGGTGAAAGGTTATCACGATTTGGGTTTCTCATGCTTTTTTAAATTGTCTCTGTCTGTAGGCCAGCTCATCTTGCCTCAGCACTACCACTGTGTATTTACAGTACCTGAGCTGCGTGTGTTTGCTCTCTGTGAGCGCAGGGCTGGGCGCACTGCTCGGGGAGTGACGGTTGACCTCAGAGTGGAGTCGGTCCAGTAGGAAGCGAAGGAACTCCTGGGCGTCCTGCTGACTGCCAGCCGCGGAAACAAGCAAGATGCTCAGATTAATGTCAGTGCAGGAAAGCCCAGTCCAGCTGTCTCCTAATAAAACTCACAAAATGTGATCTTCCACGTGCTGTTTTGTCGTCCAGTGTTCCCTAGGTGTGCAGTGCGCTGATCAGCTCCTAGGAAGGGGGCCACTGTCATATTCCCAGCGCTATGAGTCTCGGAAAGCAACGGGACACCTGCTGTCTACAACAGAACATATGCTGTTTGCTTACAGAAGTGAAAGAGAGCAGCCTGGCCAGGCAGTGTTTGCAGGGCAGGGGATGGTGTTAAACGGTGTGTCTCTCCAAGCACATGATGGGCTTGTGTGGCACTTATAATGTATAACTAACATAAGAGTGAATACAGACTTGTCTGGATGTCAGCATCTAAGGATCTCATCCTACCATTTCATGAAGATAAGAGGTCTGGATTGTTTTATATTCCCATAGCCCTTTGTGTAAAGACAGTGAAAACACACTTCCAGGTAGTTTCCACGTCTGTCCTGTGGGTGGTGGTTTAGTGCTGATACTTGGTGGACTGTGTCAGTGTTGGTGAGGACAGACTCAGACTCTCAGACCAGTAGATGTGTTACTGCAGTCAGTGTAGTCCTACACCAGCGTCTGGCCCCTCCGCTCTCTGCGTCTGACACAATCAGTGCCTCATTGTCGCGCTGAGCCAACTCTTTGGCTCTGTGAGCCAAACAAGAAATGTCAGTCACATGTGATGGAGAACCTCTGTGTGTGACATGTTCCTCACTGCTCACCTGTAGGTATTAAAATTAGGCACGGACTCCCTGAACAAGGTGTAGAATCTCCCAGGATGCACTGCAGTTGACCCTTCTGGTGCCCAGAGGTCAGAGAGCACTTGTGAGAAAGCTGCAGCAGACAGGGAGAGCAGATCAGCAGGATGACAGCAATGGTGACTCTGCTATCCACGCCAGCGTGTGACATCAGACAAGTGGTGATATCCCAAAGTGCATTGCTACAGGCTTTATCGTACATTTCTGTTCCACAGATGCAGCTGCTACTGGTGGCACATTCAAAAGAATTGTTTCTCCAAACATTCAAAAATGAAGTCTGTCATTCCTGAAAGACTAACTCTAGCACTTCATGATATTAAATAGTGATTCAGTATAAAAATACTATGAATTTATGCATAGAACTACATTTTGCAGTGAAATGTTAATATATTATAACCATAATCTGAAAGAGATCCATTTACCTATCTGTTTTCTAACAACTTCACCCATTTCAGACTCACAGGGGGGCAGAAAACGTAAACAATAATCTCTCATGATAATGTAAAAAGCCCTCGTTTAGTGTAGCATCTTGTGAATTTCGCCTGGCTCGAATACTGCTGGTCACAGCAGGGCCAGATGTCAAAGTACCGTTCATGAGCTCTGGGGGCTTGCGGGTGCCCATGTCCTGCAGGTACCGCTGTCTCAGGCAGTGATCCCTGAGGGGCAGCGTGTGGGACAGGCACTGCAGCACGGCGTTCAGGAAGCACTGCAGACACACAGAGAGCTGTGGTGAAGGCCTGACACTTGCGCAAGAGAGACAGAGGGACAGGTGGAATGAAGAACAGAAGGAATGAGGTAAATAAAAGAACAAAGATGGAATCACGCACCTGTGCCTCATAGAGTAACACAAAGTAGCTCTAATTAGACAACCAGGGCCTAAAACAACATTTGGTCTGTTGAGACCTGGTCCCAGGTCAGAAAACCCCAGAAAAACCACCAAGGAGATCTACCTACTGTATTCCCAACATTGTGGATTCCAACACGCCCGCTGCCCAGCGTCAGACTGGCTTCCTGCTGCAGGAAGACAGACAGGAAGATGAATCACAGTTACCACCTCCACACCCACTGCCCCTCATCACACCTCCCACTGCCACACCCACTGCCCCTCATCACACCTCCCACTGCCACACCCACTGCCCCTCATCACAGTGTAATAGATGAGTATCTGAGCTGGTTGTGGGTTTGGGTCCCCACTGCAGACACTGCTGTTATGCCATGAGAGAGGTACATTACCCCAGTTACTCCAGTCTGCCAGGCTGTATGGGTTTCTCCTGCAGTGGGCCAGTGTCCTGTTCTGGGCAGGATTCATGTGTTTCCTGGTCTGTGTTTAACACCACGGGAAGCGGGATGAGCCGATGCAGCTCGGATACAGAAACGACCTCAGTCATTCTGAGCTTAACTGGATCAAAACCCAGTGGCCCCTGTGAGAGCCTGAAAGCTGGGATGCAGATTCCTGCTGCAGGCTGATGTGGAGGTACAGATCAGAGACTCTTCCTTAGCCACAGTCTTTTTTTTTTAGAGCCCTGATCTCATTACCGCGCAATAGATCTCAAACTAGAGGTCATGGAGACTCATCCCATTAGCTCCTCAAGGGGAGGGACGTGCATGTGTGTGTCAGAGCGTGCTCGGGCACGTGCACCAGGAAGGACGCTCCAGGGACAGCAGGGCTCGTGCAGTGTGTCAGGTGCCAGCTCCCAGGGATGAGTAGTACCGCTGTTCCCACTGGGCTCTGACTGACTGCTGGTGAAGCGCTTGAGAGCAACCACCACCGATTCAACAGGGAGCCCAGATCAGACCATGACTGACTATACTAGTTGACCACTAGAGCTGGCCAGAACACTGACTGAGCACCGGAGCTGACCACACTGATTGACTTCTGGAGATAACATCATAACACATCACTTTATTAGCCCTATACAATTTCTTGCATTAGGAATTCGTCTTTTCACATATCCCAGCTTGCTCTCCATGAGACACATAGACACACAGGCAGGGAGAGAAGCCTGGGAGATGACCACTTGACTGAACACCGGATCTGACAGTTACAAGGGCTGCTTCTTACCTCGTTATCAGCCACCAGGAGCAGCCCCATGAGAGAGCTGTAGAGAACGGACTGGGAGATGTCCGGCCCCTCCTGCTGCACGGCGCTCTGAGTGGCCAGCGAGCGGCACAGCGCCTGGCACGAGTCCTCCATGACAGCCGCGGCTCTTCGGGCGACTCGGGCGCAGGGGTCCCGTCCGACTGGGGTCCACGACCGGTTTCCACAGACCGAGTCGCTCCGGTCGAGCTCACTTCCAGGCGAAGCGCTCTGTCCGCGACTGAACCTCCCGCAGCCGCTCAGGAGAGGAGATCCGGCGCGTCACTCTCACCGCCGCGGCGGTCTCCTGGACAGTCTGCAGACCCAGCCGGGGCGCCGGTCACTCCGTCGCAAAAGCTTTGCGTTTCTTCTGTTTGTTATGTTATAGGCTGTTTTAAAAACGCTTTTCAAAATAGCTGGCTTGATTTATGTGAGTCGTAGGAGTGTTTGCTTCTTATTGCATTTAATGATTTAGTAAAATAATAACTATAGAGTCGTTTTTGACTGAAATAACAAATAAAATATTAAAGACTGCAGTAAGAAATAAAGTATCAGTATTTTTTTTAATTGAAATATTGCGACAAAGAATTAGGCTCTACTAACCTTATCCGGAGATAGCAGAGATACGAAAATCTGAAGACGAATCCCGTTGGCAAGAGCTCTCTTGGTGTAAATTGGGAATGTCACTACATCTGCAGTTCGTTCTACACGGGATAACACTTGTGCTGTCATCTCTTGTCTTTCACTTGTGTGAATTTAGACGATTAATGTTAATCCCCTTTAATCTCTTCCAGCTCTCTCTCTCCTTTCTCTATATTTAGACACTCTCGCCCACAGTTAGCCCTTGCCGAATAGAGTAGGCATCCTGTATATATTACTGTAATATATATTTTATTACATCACTGGTTAGTTACTTTCCAAAATGCAGAGGGTTTAAAGCTTTTTAGCCGGGGTTTTAACGATTTACCGAAAAACACATCATATACTGTATATCTCTCCCGCCACCCAGAATAAAATCAGTGTAACTAAACTGCGTGGTTTGTTGAGTGAAGAGCAGCGCTCAGGTAATCGCGCTCAGGTGAGTCCCGGCTGGCTCACTCTCACTCATAAGCCCCACCCCTCCGCGTCTCCTCCCACATCATTGGGCAGCAGGCACGCCAAGCCACGCCTCCTCGCCGGTGCGGTCTCCTTGACAACAGCTGTCAACTGTGTTACCCAGCAGCAGGACGGTAGGGAAATCTTTCTTTTTCCTTACAATGTGTCAATACGACAGTAAATAAGTGAGAAAATAATCTCAGCGGTTTCCCTTGAGCTCGGATGAATTCAGAGGTGGTGTCCGGGCAGAGCGTGTTGCAAACGTAAAAACTCGCACTGATTATTTCTCCAAGTAGTTGCGTTTCGTTTCGACAGTAACGCGTTAGTTGCTGCCGGAGTGGATTCGAGCCGGGTCGACTCTGGGCACTGGGCCGGGCTGAGCCGCCGGTACCCGCTCCCCTAGTGTTCTGTCTTGGGCTGAGGAGGACCGGTCTCCCTCAGGACCTGCGAGAGCCAGGGACAAGAGCCGAGTGGGATCAGGAAAAACACATTGTGATTATTTCATGAGGAATCTTCATGACACCCAGGAATCAGTCTGGTTTGCGGATGTTTATGGAGTAATTTTGGATTGAACCCGCTTGGCTGTGGGCTATCCCGCAGGCAGAGAGAGGAGTGCCCCAGCGGAGCACTGTGGAGGAGAGTGTGTGTGTGTGTGATATGTACTGTTTATACAGTATTTGAGAAGTGCCGGTGGGAATGATTATGATTTAGAACAGCTGGGACGAACGAGGCTTGGTTGTGGTCTTCTCTTCTGAGCTTCACTTTATTTTCTTTCCTGGGAATCTCACTGTGCCTACAGTATGTGAGCTGTACAGCAGCACTGCTGAGCGCGCAACAAGCTCGCACAACAACAATGTAAGACGCCTGATTCTCAGTGTGCAATCGACTAAGACACAAGTGCTTCGTGGGTTAAAGGCTTTGTGGGGAGCGAGGAAGTGGCGTCTTCGGCCTGAAGGGTTTCCAGTGAGGAGCAGTGTCGGCCGGAGCTGCAGACGAACAAGACGAAGTTCATTTCACTCTGAAAAGCAGAAAGAAAAAAACACTAATTTCAGTTGTCGAATCGTCTTTGGTTTCTCTATCTGTAGTCTGTGAAGCCGGCTTCTTACAATGTTACTGTGTGTCCATACAGCAGATCTGTCTTTATGTTTTGAAAGAAGAAAATAAAAAAACAACACACAAGTAGCTTTATATAAGGAGCTGAGACACAAATAAAGAAAATGAATGAAGTAAGACTAAAAAAGCTGTTACCTGAAACCCTCTAACAGGCCCTTGTTGAGGAATGCTGAGCCCACACCATTCAGTCTGCCCGATGACCACTCAAATGCAACTGGGCTTAATCAGTGAACAAAGCAATGTGGCCGTAGGGCTAAATCTAGAGTTTAATTATATTTTTTGTGGCTTTTAAACTAATCAATAACAGTTTATTGTATTGCCTCACACCTGAAGAAGGCTCCAAGGCCGAAACGTTGTGTTTTCTTTCTTCTCTTTTCAGAATGGAATAAACCTGTTACTTGTTCCTCTGAAAATCTTTATTATGATGGTAAATTTACCTGTGATTGAAATACGAATTTAATGTCCATCAACAAATGCAGAAATGCAAACAGATTAGCTGTCTGATAAGCTAGTGTACAGTGTATAGCTGCACTGTCCTGGTTTCTTGTTAGAAAGAAAGAGCTGGGAACAGCACAGTCACATGTGTTCCATGAACGCTATCTGTTTTTAAGGTCCTTGTGCAGCTGAGGTGGACACAGAGACAGGAAGTGATGTCGGACCGAGAGGAAGAAGGGGTGGAGGACAAAGTGGAGGTGGCGGAGCCTGGGAACACAGCTTCCATCTTGGACTCGGAGGGAGAGGAGGGTGGCAGAGAGGAAGGGGAAGGACAAGGAGAGGAAGAGGCATTGCTTGAGAAGGAAGAAAAGGTGAAGCTATTGATTTGTCTGAATCTGAATGCTGCATTCCTGCACAGCTAGCCACTGTCATCAATCCCTTGTGTTCCAGACAACAGCCCAGGCCTACAGCCTACCTTTGAGCCAGTGTTGGCTCTGCTGTTTATAGTCACCAGTGAGACCAGCAGACAGCACGTCTGCTGCTGTTTCCCAGTAGGAGCTGAGTTAACTGGTGGATGTTAATCTGCCGGCCTGTGTTTCTGCTGTGTTTCCTCTCTTGCAACTGATACCAGATTCTTTGTCCAGAGAGTCAGCAAACTGAGCTGGAGCCATTTTATGTCTTCTAAACTTCTAAATCGTAGCTGTTGTCACAAGGCAAATGTTGGGTAGATGTTTTGATAGCAACAGCTGAGGCATAGCTGAGTGGAAATAACATACTGGTGCAGTGTTGGAGCAGTTTGAATTTACTGAATCAATTAGAAACAGGGACAGGAACCTCAGGCTACAAGGAATCAACCTCAACATTTACACCCAGATTCAAGAGTACAAGAGCAAAGAGCAAGTACAAGGGTAAAAAATACATGAATCTGTCTGCTGTGATACAAATGGCTGATCAGTTCAAGAAATGTCTGAATGCGATCCTTGGATCAATAAGTTACTAACTACAGAACTGGCCAGATGAGCCGAATAGCCTCCTCTTATTTGTGACCTTTCTTATGTTCTGACTTCATCATAACATTGTTTCTGAACACATAATTCTAAGCATAGTAATCATCGGCTTGCTGTGACACTGGTATAGCATGCGTGCAGCTGTCTTTTATCTGCAGAGCCTCTCCACACCTGCCTGAGCTGTAACAGAGCTGGTTCTCTCTCCCTCAGCTGGAAAGCTGCCCTCTGACATCAGAAATGATCTCCGAAGGCCTGTCCCTGCTGTGTCGCACTGGCAACGGACTGGCACACGCCTTCGTCCGGCTGGAACTCAAGGAACGGTGAGCATTCAGCAGCCTTTGACCACTCAAGCTTCTGGATCCCTTTGTACCACAGGCCCCAAAGCTCATTTTTTGTGGCTGATTGCGCACATGTGCAACAAACACGTCACCGTTTCTTCAAAACAACTCTCTAAGACCCAATACATGTGGAAAAGTCATATCAGGAACCCAACTATATATCCTCAGAGACAGATCTCAGCACCCTGAGTGATGGGAAATGTAGTGTGTGAAGTGAAAGTTGACAGAAACAGTTATAACCATTAAGGATTTGGTGTTGACCTCTGTATTTCTCTCATCTGTCCAGGGGCTTAACAGACCTCAACATATTGTCCAGCTTTGTCCACCTGCGTTTCCTGGACATCTCCTCCAATTACCTGTCTGACCTCTCCCCTCTGGCCTCCCTCTCTCATCTGCTGTGGCTCAAAGCAGATGGAAACCTGCTAGATGGGTTCAAAGGTCAGCCCCTGGGCCAGCTGGAGTACCTGCAGTGGCTGAACTTAGCGTCCAATCGGATCAAAAACACAGAGGGGCTGGGAGGGCCCTCCTTGGAGACCCTCAACCTGACTGGTCAGTCTGACTGCTGTTTGCCACTGCACTTCTGAAACAGTGATTGCTGCTGACTCACAGTTTCATAGGCAGACGGAGCACCTTCACAAAGGGTCATCTCACACAAGAACTACAGCAAAAAAAAAACTACACACTATTGACACCAACCTCTGTTCTAGACATACTGACATTTTTATGAACTCTAGGATCATGTCCTGAAAAACATTGCATTTTCTTATTATTGAACTTTGGACATTATTGCACTTTCCCAAAGTATGTATAGATAATATATATTAAACAAAACAAATATATATATATTAAACCAACTCCCACGCATGGCTCTTTGCAACAGGCTGAGGGATCTTTGACAGGTGCAGCAGGCTGTGTCATTCTTCACTGCCTGTCTTCAGAGCACAGGAAGAGTGGTGGGAGTTATGACCCTTAGATTTTAGTGTGCAGGTCTGCTTCTCCAGAATGCTAATTGGTGCATCTGTATCACTTCCATTGTGTTTCTGGAGTCTCTTATTGGTGTCATTGTCTACAATACGCATTTTGTGTAATTCTCAAATGTTGTTTTTGATCATATACTTATATTGGTATATAACAATAATATTCCAGAAAAAAAAGGGAAAACAAAGAATGAGTGCCTACTTGCCTAGTGCAATGGCTGACTGTCTCCATTCATTTATTCCATTCCCAGGCAATGGGATTCAGTCAATATCCGGCCTGGACTATGGGCGCCTGGCGAACCTGGTAACCCTGGAGCTCAGAGGGAATCGCCTGGAAACCACAGACGGGATCTACCTGCCCAACCTGCGCAGACTGTACCTGGTGTGACTGCGGGTTGTTCTGCTGAGAATTGTGTGAAGTGCAGCTGTGTCTCATCGCAGCAGAGCACAGACACCACCTAGTGACAGGCCATAGGTGGCAGCTCTAGCAACATGCTTTCACATTTCCTGATTACATGCAAGACATCATAATTCACACGCAGTGCATCACTTTATTATCACAACGTTATTCCATAACACTCAATAAAATGCCTTCAGAATCTTCATCATGTAGCTCAGTGCTAAAATGCACTATGAAGAAGAGCAGCAGTGACAGCACAGTCTGTATTGACTTCTGCTTCCCTTCCCAGGCCCAGAACCTGATCAAGCGTCTTGAAGGGCTGGAGAGGCTGGAGAAACTCACCACTCTGCACCTGAGAGATAATCGCATTGAGTCCCTGGAGGGCTTCAGCGAGGGAATGAAGTCCCTGCAGTATCTCAATATGAGGTGGGGCCTTATCTCCAGCTCACTGGACCTCAGTGATGAGTATACCTGAATGCTGCTCGGGATCTCCTTGGAGTGCTTGCAAGACAGATTGTTTGATGGAAAAAAAAACAACCTTTATATCAAAAGTTTGGAACTCAAAGTCAAATTAATCATATTCCTGTTTTATTAGTCCCACAAAATACTTTTAAATAAATCAATTCCAACTGCTAGAGCTGAAAGCTTATATATATTCACGTTCATCAATGCTGGTGTGGAAGGCGGCGGACTGCATTGAAGTGTCTCGGCGTCCCTCTCGTGTCTGTCCCAGGGGAAACCTGGTCTTCTCTCCGCGAGCCCTGCTGTCTCTGGCTCCAGTGGCGGGCAGCCTGCGGGCGCTGGTGCTCTCCGAGAACCCCCTGTCCGAGAGCGAGGACTACCGCATGAGCGTCCTGCTGCGGCTCCCCCTGCTGGAGAGGCTGGACAAGGACGCGGTGACTGCCGAGGAGAGGAGCGAGGTGGCCGAGAGACAGAGGGTAGGTCAGGCGCGGTGCTGTCACGCTCACGTCCCCCTGGGGCGCCGCTCTTCCTGCTTTCATTCAGACTCGCTTTCAGTCGGCTTAAAGAATGCGATAACCGCCCCACTGAAGCACTGCCCTCTCTGGGTCACGTAAAGGATCTGCATTTGATTCGCACCAACACTATGAAACCTTTGGTGTTGCAAAGTCAAGCCAGAGAACTTGGGATGAACAGTGCAACACAGAAGTGTTGGACAAGCTGCACAGCTGCGTTCTGTAAGCTGTTACCCTGGGTTCTATATATGTTTCTAGCTTTATCTATCAAGTGTTGGGCTGGGAGGCGTAAGAGCTTCTGTGCCGGCAGCACATCTCTGGCAGGGGAATGGCGACCACAGCTGGGCAAGGAGTTTCCAGAGTCGCTCCACAGCGAGGGTAGCCCTCGAGCACACGTTTCCATTAGCGTGAGTGTCTGTTATTTGACTCTTTCAGGAATTTGGAGATGAAGAAGTCACGGAGCAAGAAGAGTATTAACTGCCGCGATCAGCCCACATGTTATAGTGTGGGCTAGGAGCAGCCAAGCGGACCAAGCAGACAGAGTGTAAGAAGAGGGAGCACCTCCTCTGACACAGCAACAATCTCTGCAGCTTTCACAAGCACTCGTTATCACCCAGCCTCTCTCTGAACATATCCTCTAATGTTTCATGTGGTTTCACAGACCATCTAACATTCAGTGTGATTTCACATCTAATGCATTGTTTTGCAAGTATTACAAAGAAGCAGCAGGCTACAGTCAGTAATGTTTTATCTTTTTATTGCTTTTGTTACTTTTCAAGAAAATGAATAAAGAAAAATATACATAAAAGATGATGTAATCTGATATTGATTCTTGCTTTTATATTGCTTCTTGCTGTACTAAAAAATTTTTAAAAAATAAAAAATTGAAGGAAAGTGTCATGTGATGGAAGCAATCCTGCCAATATCTTCAGTCTAGTTTTTACTTTTGGCAGACTGGAGAACAGCGTACAGTACCTTATACCCAGGGTCCGTCAGACCTTGCGGCTTTAATGGAGCTGTGCTCCTCTGTTCCGGTGCTGGATTGACAGAGACTGGAAGGCATTGCAGACATTCGGATTGTGAAGGGATTGAAAACATTGACACCAAGGATTCAGGTGAAGGTGGGAGGAACCCTGGGTTAGCGTTAGTCATGAGCACTGAATCAGATACATGCAGGGCATACAGTTTATGATGTGCTTAGATTTTTTGAAGGCTTTGAATAAAGTCATTAGCAATTCTCGATCTGCAGGCACTAGGTATTTAGGGAAATACACATGTTTGGACTCAGAACCAATTATTAAATAGAGAACAACATATATTAATAAGGGGTGAAAACTCAGACTGGGGTGACAGAATTAGTGGAGTATCACAAGGATCTGTATTATGACCACTGCTCTTCCCACTTAAGATCAGTGATCTAGATTCTGGTACAGGTATTTAACTCGTGAAGTTTGCAGATGATACCAAATTAGGAAGATTAGCGAACACTACAGAAGCAGATTTAGAATTCAAATTCAAAACAATTAAAATTCAAGAGTGGCCAAACACCTCTCAGATGATGATTATTGTAGGCGATGGCAGGCTTTTTCATGCAGATAGTTAAAACATAAATTATGAGCTTACAAACAAGAGGAGAACATTTGGCCCTCTACAGCAGCTACAGTAAGTGATCCAAGGATGTCATCCAGCCACTTCCTGAAAGGCGCCAGTGTACTGGCCTCAGCAACATGGTTGGGCAGATTCCCTCTGCTCTCTTTCAGGGGTTCTTGTGGCAAAAGACTGTGATCTCCTCTGTTCCTCTTGTGTTTCCACATCTAGCCACACTGCTATTTGTAACAGCAGAGTCATTCAAAGAGAAGACATAACAGGATGTGCATGTCAACGCACAGAGGACAGCCAGCACTAGAGAGCTCCAGTCTGCAGTCTTTAGTCTGCAGCCACTGTCCACAGCCCTCCTGCACAGCTCCCTCATGCACTGGCTAGATTGGTCTCTTCAAGCAATTCGAGTTTCAGCTTGATTCACTGTACATTGCGCTAAAGTGTGCACTTGTCTCTGAAGGCAAATATATTACTGCAATATTCCACGCATTTCAAATATATACATGCTACAAATTGGTTTGTGTCAAGGTGGTATAGTGTGCCACATTTGTTTGTTTTTTTCATTCTTTATTTTTCCAATAAAAAAAATCTATTCCTAACAGAAACTCCTCTCTGTGGTTGGTTGGAGTTACAAAACATAGAAATATTTCTCTTTTCTTCAACAGAAGATATAATTTCCTTCCTGGTGTTTAGCCATTTTACAGCTGAAACTTCCCTTTTGTGTTTTATCTAATGCCTGATATTCTTCTCAGTATTCTGCCTCCTAAAGCCCTTATTTCTCAAGGAGAAAAAATGGGGGGGGGGAGGGGGTTATATTTGCTCGTGACTGAAACATTCTGAGCTTAAAAAAGAGGAACTTGACTTACTGACTCCTGTTGTCATCTGTCATTTCTGATCACCACATCAGTGCTGCAGCGGCAGAGGCTAGTCGAGTTGTGAAGCTATCTGGCAGAACAAGACTCTTTCCTGTCCCTGGAAGTATAGCCATGCTGTTTGCTGTCCTGCTCCTGATCGGTGAGGCTGGCTGTGTGTCTCTTCGATGTCGGCTGGTTCTTTCTTTTTGTTCTCTTCCTTTTAATGTATTTTACTCCTGTTTCTCCCTGTCTTATTTTATTTTTCCCATTTTCTGCATCTCTTTATTCTTTATTTTTTCACAAGTCTATAAAGAAGAGCCTCTTGTCCTCTGTTTTAAATGCACTTCCATGAAGCCTCAACCTGTGCCATCTGGTTCATATTTCACCGATGGTTTTGTAGATGTTCATAGGATTGATGTTTGTCAATGTCTTTGAGGATTGTAAATACTAAAATCCCATCCCCTTACAGTCTTCTCTGTTCATAAAGACAAAAGGTTTGAGCATTTTTTGCCATGTTCATGATGTTTAACATGCCTGATTTTGAATTCTGTTTTAACTATATATTTTAATATGTCTGCCTTGATTATTGTCTAAGAGTAAATCTTTCTCATAGGTAGCCTCTTCTAGTTCAGTGGTTCAGATATTACATTTCTAGTTTATGTTTCAGATATCTGCATGTAGCCTTTTCTTTAAGTCATCTGCCAAGATATGCCAGTCCTGGATTTTGTATTAATATCTTTGAAGCTTCTATGGTTGCTAATCCAATTCATTTGACTCATTTACTTACTTCACCAGGATGTAGATCACAGGTCTTAAGTAGGAAGGGCAGTGGTCCTGGTGCAAAAGCCTGAGCAGCTCTGATGACATCACTCCCATGGGTCACTCTGTAGGAGTGCAAGCAGTCTCATAAGAGATCACTGCAGTTTTAGAAAGACCCCTGGAGAACTGAGCACAGAGGCATCACTGTTCTCCCTAACATGGCCAGCCTCCTGTGACAGGACAAAGGACATTTTTGGAAAGAATGTACAGTATGTTTTAGCACAGAAAGAATATTTCTGATGGTAGAAATGCAGACCTTGCCTGTCTAGTTGTCAAACATCTCCCATGACAGGTGTGTTGGCCTAAAGGAACCGTGTGCACCTGAATTCCTCAGCTCCCATGGATCTCTCAGAAGAGTTCATTTGGATCTGAGCTGCTCGGAAGTAGAGTTGAGAGGAATGGGAGGTCCTACCTCACACTTCTGAACTTTTGCCAGTAATGTCACTGTTTTCCTGTCCTCATATTTCTGCCTTTATTGTGCTTTATCATGGTTTCCTGTGGTTCGTGTCATGCTCTGCTATAACTGCAATACTTTTCTGTGCCCCTGCTGATAGTCTTCAGCGACGGCAGTGTTTGAATTGATCTCAGCACAATGCCAAGTACAGGTCTGCAAGCTGAGACCCGCAATGGAGAATAACACATCGGAGTCTGTGCTTGGGCAGAAATAAATCCATTGGAATAGGATAGCAAGATGAAGTAGTTAGCTTTGACATTAATGATCTTGCTAGCGTTCTCACACTTCCGTGAGAAACTACTTTTTCAGATATAAAGCCACAACCTCTTGATTAGTGGTTAAACAAGTCTTTGTCTGTTCTGCTTTTTGGAGAGAGAATTCTTTATTGGCTTTCAATGAAAGAATACAAAAATAAGAAATTTCTCATTTAGAGAGTTGGAATTGATTACAAAACTATAAAAGCCTGTTCTTGTAGCATGGAGCTTCTGAAGGGAAATCGTATGCGAGCTCTTGAAAGATCTATTTCTGTTTCTAAAGTGCGATTGGAAACTGTTATCTGGCTGGGATTTTTTACATTGAGAGAACACCGTAAAAATGCAAACATCTTCTCTAGAAACAAGTAACAGGTTTATTCCATGCTGAAGAGAGAAGAAAGGAAACAATGTTTCGACTGTGGAGTCTTCTTCGGTGTGAAGGCTCAATGAAAGAAACACCGAAAAAGACTCCACAGCCGAAACATTGTGTTTCCTTTCTTCTCTTTTCAGCATGGAATAAACCTTTTACTTGTTCCTTTGCAGCCTACACATACTGACGCAGCTCCCTACTTGAGCTAAATCTTTCCTAGGATCTTTCTATTTGCATTTGGTAAGTAGGACTAAACTAAAGGATCATCTGTAAGATCCTGTGGATGGAGAAAGTTAGGTCTTGTTCTTTGACTAAAGCAACAGTTGTAATGGTCACAGTTAAGTTTCGGTTTAGATTTTCGAAGATAAAAATGAGATATTTAAATCAGAGGATGTTGTGCCAAAACTGTACTTTGCACTAGTAAAATATAATTTAATTCAGGTAGTCACAATGATACAAAAAAATATATTGCGTCTCTGGAATCAATCAAAAGCCCCCAGACACACCCTTGGACTTTACTTCTCTGGCGGATTAAAAAAAACGGAATCTTTTAAGTCTTGCACAGAAAGGTTACAAAATATCCAATTCAAATTTTAGAAATCCTCAAAGACACTGACATCGTCAACAATAAAATGGACAGTGAATCGTGATCTATCTGCATGTAAGTACACATTCCTCCAGCCCTGGGGTTCCTGCACTGGCTCTTGTCAGGTTTCGTGTCGACTTCAAAATCCTCCTGCTCACCTATAAGGCTCTGCATGGCTTGGCACCCCAGTCCCTGTCTGAGTTGCTATCGTCATACTCTCCACCTCTCAACCTTCGTGTAACGAACAGTTCTTTCCGGACCCTATGCGGACGACACAATAGTGACGAAGTGGGGAAACACTAGGGAAACGTCATGCAGGAAAACGGGGCTGAAGACAAGGGGGCGTGTCCAAGGTGTGGCCGAGGCGAACAATCCGAGAGAGTAGTACTTTGGGAATATCCAAAACACAAGGGTAAGTCCAAAACCAGAAGATCCATCAGAAGAAGGAATTAAAAACCACGAAGGCCGGGTCGGAACCGGCGGACGGGGAACAGGAACGGGAACAGAGGTTAAAACCTTAACGGGACCAGGCGCTTCCAGGTCCCGGACTCGCACGATATGGAAATCAGATGCAGAGCCCAGATGAGCGTCAGCGCCTGGCTTTTAAGGGGGAACGGGAATAGGGATCAGGTGCAAACAATGGGAGGGAACGAGGAAGAGCTGGAGCTCCCTTAACAGGAGGGGTTAGCGATCGTGACACTTCGCTCATCTGACTCTCTGCTCCCTGTTCCCCAAACCCATCTACACACTGTGGGTGACAGGGCCTCCTCCTGCTGCGCCCCTAAACTCTGGATATCAGAGAGTCACCTTCCCCCAGCTCCTTCAAATCCAGACTCAAAACCTTATTCTTCAGAAAGGCTTTTGTTAATAGGAAACTCTTATTTTTAATTGTAGTAACACTATCTCTTCTACTTATAATTTTTATTTATTTTCTTACCGTGAAACACTTTCAGAAGCTATTGGTATTTTATTATTATTGCTATAGCTATTGCTAAATGATTATTATTATCACTCAGAGGGGACAGGGCAGTGGGAGACTAGAACAAGCTACCTGTCCTTATTGTCTGTCACGTTCCACATCCCTCCTCTAGAGGGCGCTCCTACCCTTTTCTGTTATAAGGTTCTATTATTTCCCGGTGTGTCTCGTTTGTATTTCGGGTTTAAAAGCCCAGCGTCTCCGCAGTTCGTGGCTCAGCTTTGGAAGACGGACATCTGAAGGCCCGCCTGCCACCAGGCTTGGAGGAAGCCCAAGGGCACAGGCCTTCATCCCAGACGTCCTGACCTCTGACCCCGGGGCTCGGAGCACCTGGTCCTGTCATGCGTTTATCTCTCAGTGTTCCTGGTCTTGGTTGCCCTTCCCGGGGATTGTAATTGTCCTCGTCTCGGATGGATCTCCCGGCTCCTGGATAACGGAGTGTGCCCTGACTACCTCTATGGGACTTCCCTGGATTTGGTTGCCTTGGCGTTTCCCCCCCGAGCACCAGATCACTGCGTTCACTGCCCCCTGTTTGTCAGCCCGTCCTGACCCTGCTGTGTCTTGCCCTGATGTCCTTCTCCAGACTCTCCCATACGGTCTTATTACACACTTTGTGGGAGTCTGACCCGGCTCCCATGACATCATCGAAGTGCCCTGGCTTCTCTGAAACAGCTGGACGAGATCACTGAGCGTTCTTCTATTTACAATCACATGAGCTAAATGGGCTGAACGGTCTCCTCACATTTTCAAACTTTCTTATACTTCTTATGAAACTGGATTTTTGTTATCTAGAAAACTCTCCTTTAGTATTGGAATGGATTGTCAGGGTACATTACGGAGGCAGAAATATATCTTTGCACTATAATAGAATTGCTAAGTGTACAGGTAGACAGTGTGTAACAACAGACTGAACATCCTGCCAATCCCGGGCCATATTTCTAAAGTGAAAAAAAGATATTTTCCAAATTTTTCACGCATTTTTTGAGGCTCAAAAAGACAGGATTTCTAACTATGGCTGACATATGAATAGGAGAGCTGTGAAGATTCCTGTGCAGCTCCTGAGCTTTTTCAGCTGACATTTTCTATCCACCAGTAAAAGTTCTGTTCTGTCACAATGTACGGTAGCTTCAGGGAATTTGATGTCAGCCAGAGTTTGATGTCACGCAAACAAGAGATAAGTGATGGAGGGGGGAGACCAGTGAGGGGAGAAGTTTTAACATAAATCTATGCAGAGTATCATCTACAGTACATACAAGTGAAGCTGAAGACCATGCTTGCTTGCTAAGAGAAACCATATAAAAATACAAAGCAAAGGGCCCAAGACTGAACCCTGAAGCACACCGTGATTAACTGGGCCATGGGGGATTTATGAGGACCAAGGGAGACAAAATGTTGCCTGTCAATCAGATAAGAGCAGAAGCAGTTAAAGACAACACCGACAATAGACAAGAATGTCTGCAAGCATTTGAGAAAAATTGAACAATTTACTGTATAGAAGCCTTGCTAAGATCAGGGACCAAAAGAATACTTATATGCACAGAGTAAAGTGTAAAAACTAAATAATTCACAACCCTGACAAGAGTAGTCTCAGTGCTACACTTAGAGTAAAACTGAACTGGAATGGTTCAAACAGATCATTAACTATCATCTGAGTCACACTTTCTAAGATATTAGATAGATATGGTCAATAGAAAATGGTCTATAGTTCATAATTATTTCAGAATCCAAACCAAGTTTCTTTAATATAGGAGTGATTGATACAGTCCTGCTGTTGATGATGTTGACAGTTTAAGGGCAGATGTCAGGGAGGCACTCTTTCAGTAAAGAGGTAGGGATGGGATTTAAGCAACAAATGTTTTTTTTGCAGCTGTTAGTAGGTTTTGCAAGTTGACCTCAATTAACTAAACTAAATTCAGAAAATTCTGGTACAGAGGGAAATTCAATGGAATAGCCAGGGCTCAAACAGTTGTCCAAATTCTGTACAAAGTTGAGGCTTGATTCAGGTAATTATAGATCTATAGCATCAATCTTTGACTGAAAGAATTGCAAAAACTTTAGAGGTCAGAAGTAGAAGAAAGCAGAGTTGTGAGGGCATGTAGTGAGCTTTTTAACAACAGAGAAGAGCACTGTATGATTTCCTAGTCCAGAGCTGATTGTATCTGATATACAGGAGGATCTGGCAGAAGTCAGAGCAGCTGTGTAGACCTGCAGGTGTTCATTAGAAGCCTGAGTGTGAACCACTGGGCCAGATGTTTTGCTTAAGTGCTCCAGATGCCATGCGGTTAGTTTCAAAGAGAAGTTCAGATGTGAACCATGGAGAGGAAACTGAGCGAGTTTTAAGGGGTAGGAAGTTTATCCAAAGTAGGTTTAGAATTAGAGAAATCAGAGTGGTTTTAAAACAGATTGTGCAATGCGCAATGGTACAAAGCTTCACAGGATGCATGCAGTAGACAATACATCATATGAAGAGGGTTGGCATAATGTTGCAGACAGTGTAGAAGAATTTAGGTTGAGACAGACTGAAGCAGGCCCACTTTGCCATGTGTCCTGAAAACACAGATTGTACTGAGTGCTAACTGAACTGGTAAGAGCTGTATTCACTGTGTGTTTGTTTCCCAGACGCTTTAAAATGAATAAATTACATTTTGTTTCATTTTCACACAGGTGATCTCTGTGACATTTGGAAAGTACCTACAGTCCAGGGTAGAGTAATTTCTTAATTCTTACCTACTCTTTTTTTTAAATAAAAATGTATCTACATGGCTATTTTGAAGTGATTTTAGGCAGAATTACTGGAAATAAAGATATATATTTCCTTGTCAGGTTAAAACACACAGCCTTCACTCAGAAGCTAAAATGCAGAATGCTGAGTTTTTCCAATAGTGACTGAGGAGCAATGAATTGGCCACCTGTGGAACTACATGGTTAAGAAGAGTAATGAGACAAGCTTTGACATTGTGTGATACTGTAGTACACTACAGTCATTGATCACATCTTGTATGACACTGTGTGATACTGTAGGACACTGCAGTCATTGATCACGTC